CACTTCATTTCATTTCATTTCATTCCATTCCATTTTATTCCATTTCATTTCATTTCATTCCATTTCATTTCATTTCATTCCATTTCATTTCATTTCATTCCATTTCATTTCATATTTCAATATGCTTCAAAATTAAAATATACCACTTATATGAGGCTATATTTCAGTCAATTACATTTTATTTTCAATTCATGCTGAATTCATAATAACATATTAATTTTGGAGTATGCAAAGATGATTGATTTGGTTTGATTTCTTCACTCGTTTACATAGTTTACGCCCATTTTTCAAAAATTACCAAAATTTCAGAAAGCATTTAGTTACACGAAAATTAAACAATTCAACAGTCTCTCATGAAGCATATGAAATAAAAAAAAAGAAATGAAAAGAGTTGGACTAAATTGAAATTGCTGCATCCGATGATAAATCATTCCTGTTATATATTCATCATTGATGATACATGCTGACCATAAGATACATTGGTCAATCGGTCAATCCTTTGCTCTATCCCTTCCTTTTGAACAATTATCTAATTTGATATATCATAAAATTTAACATTAATTTATGTGATAAATTTTAATGACGAAGTATACGTTGCATAACTTTTAACAGTCAATTGAACAAAGATTTCAAAAATTGGCGTTAATGTGATTAATATAAAACGAAGAATAACGAAAGGAAGGAAAGTGAAGGAAGGATGAGAGGAAATGTCTTAATCTATTTAATAGAATTTTGAAGACTTTCTAAAATTTCCATTTTAATAGAATTTTGAAAACAAACTCAGAATGAAATTCGAATTTTGATTATTTCTGAGTAGCTACTCATATTTCATCATGTTTCCATCTAATATAACACAAATTAAATTACTGGGAACTATTAATTATCTTTAAGAATACATTCTATTTGAAGTAAAATTGAGCAGAATATGAAATTGATGGAAATGAAGAGAAACGAATAAATTTTAAAATTATTAAATTTCACGAAAAAAAAAGAAGATATCACTATCAAATTACTAATAATCAAATGTATTTTCTATTCAATGTAATTCAGAAAATAATAAAACTAAAGCTAACCATTGCATGCATAATTTTTATTTTATTTCTTGCTTATTTAATAAGCCATGTATTGCATAAATTTATGCAATACAAAATTTTTAAGCTTGCCAGGTATTAATTAGTGCTTTTTGTTCAAACTGAGATTTAATTAGCGTCAAAGAGCAATATATTGAAAATTGAATTTTTAGGAAGGAAAATAAAAACTTTCCGTGATATTTCCATTTTTGTTTTTAAAAAATTTAAGCTTTACTTATATATGATAGATAATAAATTATTGAAGTAAATATATTTAAGGTTGAATAGCGCACAAGAAAATGTCACACAATATTGAATTTTATAGTAAATTTTGAGAATACCACGAGTCTAATAAAAAAAAAATTTAGGTTAACCTTTCCAGAGGTCATTGGGTTTATTTGGAAGGAATCAAGGAAAAAGAAGCAATGCTCGTTTTAATTAATTTATTTAGAGCATGTTTTGGAACATAGAGCTTTGGGAAATATTCCATTACTTCTTATGTGACATAAGGCATTGTTACTTTGCATATGTTAAGTTCGGTTAAGTTAAATTAAAACTCGGTTAGATTTAACTTCATTATCATTCATTTTAACAGCACTTTCATCAAGTGCTGTTAAAAAAAAAAGGAAAAACACAAGGGAGTTGTTATTGGTGAAACAATTTAAGCAAAGAATTGTTTGAAATTTGTTAAATATTTCATTTAAAAAAAAATTTTTTAAATATTTCATTTAACAAATTTCAAACAATTCTTTGCTTAAATTGTTATTCAATTTGATTTCTTAAATTAAGAAATTATATTCAATTTAATTTCTTAAATTAAGAAAGAGAATCGCCCAGGAAAATTGCCATTTACTTAATTGAGTTAAAAAAAAAAATCTGAATTTAGCGAATGAATTTAACTTTGTTGATTTGATAAATCATAAAAATTTTTTTAAAAAAAAAGATAAAAAGGGATTTCTCACCGATCGGACAAATCCTTCTCTTAACACCAAACCATTAACATTCATGCTAAGGATGGAAGATAACGAAAGTGGAAACTATGGAATTTAAAAGAAAAAAAAAGTGATAACTGATACTATCAGTAATTGAAAGAGATAAAAATAGAAATGGAGAGAGTTGAGGATATTATACATCTCTTCCTCAGCTGTCTTTTCCATTTGTTAAATGTCCAGTGGTCCTAAATGTCATCCAAAACTACCAATCATCACTTTTGTATTCA